AAGCAACTAACTAGTATATGAGTTTTAGGTAGACAACTGATTAAGATGATGTCTTTGTAGGGGTAGAGTACAGTACAACCAGTTCCAAAACTATAGCACATCTTGTATTAGAGAGATTTCCATTTTACCTTCAGCCCAGCAGATGGCCAAGTTGCTACGCCTCTAGCGATCCTAAAAGCTGTTAATAATTGCTTAATCTTCGGCGTTGACTGCAATGTAACACAAAAACCCCACAACTTCTACGTTTTTCCTATCTTAGAAGCAGCGGAAAAGGAACTTGTGGCACAAGAGCCGACGAGGCCCTGTTACTCGATCAATGCAACTTACAAGATAATTGCCCCAGATAGGGAAGGAAATGTGAGGTTTTAAAAATGAAATGACAAGCAGTAATCGCCAATGTTGCCGATGGGCTACCACGCTAGGAAACCTTCGTTTTCCCCTATTCCCGCTCTGCATCACAGCCCCTACGGGTTGTCTAGACGACTTTACTTTTTTTTTTTCTAGGTACCTTTCTGTGTTTTATCATCTCTTGTACCAATCTCGATGTAGCTATTTATTCACCCTCACGTCGTGTTTGTTACTGATTGAGAGCAGGCGATGCTCGGCTGCTTCTCATTGCGGTAAGGAAACCTGCGCCAATCGACAACTTTGAAAGGACTCGGCTGCTATTCCAGATACGCACGAGGGGTCGGATAACTTGGGCGTAAACACGCAAAGGTGGGCCGATGAATGCGGCGCTTCATCAGCGGGAATTCATTAAGTCTGGGTTCATTACAATGAGAAACTCGTCTGAATGGTTTCTAAATAGAGGATGCTCTACTTTAATATTATTTGATTCGTAAAACATACAAACGCATCCCGTAAGGCGCATGTGGGCCGATGGACAGGGTGGTTGGTCCGATATTTTCATTTCAAACTGATGGCAAGACCCAATCAATGCCATGCCATAATTCGGTCACTTGTTGGCAACTGAGTTCAGAATGCTTAGAAAGATAAAGACTCTTTTACGATTGCGTAAATATATGCTCGTACAATAAATAACGCGATAACCTTTGTTGCGAGTTGTGCCAGATGTAAGAAGGACATACTGAATCTTTTCGCACAGCTTTACCCGTGTGCGACTAGCAAAAGGTTGACAGCTCATTCACGTTGCAGAAGTACGCAGCTGAATTCAATATACTTAGGGTACCCAAGATAGAGAACGCGCACTGAGCGTTAGAGTAAGTTGCTCTATGACGCACACAAACAGGCGTATTTGGCGAGGAATCCGCGCCATAACGGGGGCGATTACGCCCTCTGTCATGAACTTGGAGGCGGTTAAATAAGACTGTTCGATGGTTAGCAGGCAAGCGGAGCAAGACGGTGGACGCTGCGCTACGAATCTATATGAGTTACAAACTGCATTCCACGTTAACACACGCATTCATTCAGAAGACGGTGTGGGTATATAGTTGAAATAGGCTACCTCGGAGAGAGATAACTTGACCATCAAGGACGATATCGTATAGAGAAAAACTGATAGAGGACGAGAAAGGGCTCTGACCAAACAAAGACTCCAGAGCACATTAAGAAAATAGAGAGGCCTGATAGAACCTTGAGAACAACCCGTTGCTGGAATAACTCCCGTGGACGATCTCCCAAGTGCTAGACTGAAATTAATTGAAAGCAATGTACATAGACGCCGTCAGGAGCATTATCTCATTTGCGACCCGGCTCGAATAAGCGTCGCTGGAATGATCAGGTGGGTGTACGCTACTATACGAGAGGCATCCCAATGGCGATGGTAGGAGCAACAAACAGCAGGAAAACTGCTCGTGATCTGCTTTGGGTTGACTGCGTTGTGACCTCATCATAATCAGCAGCATCATTATCCTTATCGCCAGTGAAATAAGAAAATATTCCAGACTTCACAGGGTCAGAGAGCAAGACGAATGGGAGACAAAGCAGCGTAGACATACTATGGGCCAGTTTTATGTATCCAAAAGGTTAAATCGCCATGATAACGATGCTAAATTTGCCATACATTCACTAGTATTTTTTAATAAACCTTTAATATATTTTTGTATGTAATTCTTTAGATGTGCACATATGAGTTCTTCTAGTGTACGAATAAAATTGACGAGAAATGTCGCTTACACCGTTCTTATGATAATAATAGATAACGAAGACAACTTTCAGTCTTTGATAATATGCCGTATTGTGTCCGGTCTATTAAAGTGGTTCCAGGGCATTTATGTCAGTCCTCGTAATGGGTAACGTATTTTTCCGCTAGTTTCGCTAAATTCGAACACGGCTATAGACACACGGTTTACTTCGTGCCAGCCGTTTGTCTATCTGAATGGCTAACGGCAACACCGCACGTCAAACTCGAAACATAGGGCATTCATATGAAGCAAAAAAAAGTGGCCAAGAAAACTGTTTTGAGCATGATAACCTTTTTAATAAATGCCCATACCTTGAACGGGTAGTGTGGTTATATCGCGCTAATGGTAAGTAAAGTACTAAAAATAATACCTTGCATCCACGAGAAATCTTCCTTTGATTAATGGGTTGCTTAGAAATGATTCAACTACACTATGAGAAACGGAAATATGCCATGGCGGCCCTCACCGTAACTCCTAGTCAGCTATGGACATGAGGCATTTAAAAAGGTATAAATCGATCCTACCAGGTTTCAATACACTGGATATAGCACATTTGACCATTAATTCCGCCCATACGTATAAGGACACGGGTGTATAGCTAGTCAAGGCGCTAGTATTGATTCCGAATTTTTAATATAACGGTGTTTCCTTTCATTGATGCATCTACGGCTTTCACTGAAGACCTTCAACGACGAAAGCCAGAGCGCATTCTGTCGCGTTCGGACACGACGATATTTAACTTGTCTATGCTGGACACCGTACTTTGTTATGACCATTGCCTTTTGTATCTTGTCTGATGTTTAATGCCCAACCTGTGTGTGTAGCTCCGGGATGTCTGGCTAGAATGCTTAGGCAACCCGGTTACCTGGTAGCGACTTCGCTGGATGCTTCGAAGGGTGTAGTTAGAGTGTTACTGACTACGTAACGGATTAAGCCGAACACGCCAAGCAGAGGTGTTGCTTACCACAGAGAAACGTACTACATCACCACTGCAGAGACAGAATTCGTAGCAGGTCTGCAACATCGGCCATACTTCACGTCGTGTTTCACGTCTTTGACACTGAGCGTCGAATCTCCAAGTGGAAATTTCTTTTTAGAATAGATCACCCCAATTTCCTAATTATTGAAAAAGAGATTTTCCTAATTATACGTAATACCTAATTATAGTTACTACGAAGTGTAACTATATAGGTGTATTCCCTAGCCAAGGCGTATTGAAATTGATTCTTCTTTATACTGTCTCGTTTCCCATTCGGTAGTCTATGTCACATAAGCACGAACAATAATCAAAAATATATGCTGGAGAGGTCGACTTCGGTAAGATTTAATAATACATTACCTAATAGTTATAGCACGTCTGTCTGCTTGTACGGTTGCGATCAAACGAAGTAATGTTGCTCGAGGCATCTCGACACCGTAAGTCGGCCAATATATTTGGAACACGTTACCAATAATTGTGTAAGGCCAGTTCAGCTATTACTAAGCTACAGCAGTGCGAGAAATGGGGAATATAATTGTTGTTCAGTGTGCTAACACACGGTGTACGGACTGCATCAAATGTCGGAGGCTTACTTCATCTAAAAAGATCTTACCTTATTGCTTGGGTGTCGTGTTCTTATCTAATCATGCTTATTTATTCCTCAGTGAAGATGAGCGTTCAAGTTAGATAACTAGTGAACAGTTACTTCTCACTACTACGATGATATAAACAGTTCTTTTCTCACACAAAAAAACTCAACCTCCCAAAGCAGGGGCCAAATCTACTGCGTATGCTCATTGACATCAAAACCTATGCGATCGTCGTATGCATTGGCTCATTTCTGCGCCGTCTTCAATGTCTTCGTAAGATGGCTCCCCACCCTTCATCCCACTTCCACATGCTTGTCAATCTATTCTCAGTTCCGTAACGGACTTACTGCATTAACGAGGGTACCATTGTCGTCCCATGTGCTGGGACTGTACTTGATTTGTATCAGACAACAGCGGACATTTAACTAGTAAACATACTTTTTTGTATAACAATTATCTCATTATTCGTCTCTTATCAGAATAATCATCCCATGGCACCCTGCCCCCACCAATGCAACCTTCCTTCTTTAATGAACGCATGCGACAAGTGTGACTGAATACAATAGGACCTATTTATTGAGCTAACGAACTATAAAAAAAAAAATAAAAGTATTCTTTGCAGTGCATATATCAGCCATAGTTATATCCCCCTACAAGACTTATAGACTCCTTCATCTGATCAAAGACCGCAAATATTGATACAAAACAATATATCTAAACGCGGATTTTACGAAATGAAAGGGCGAACTTATTCCTTCCACCAACTCTTGACTTCCCCCTCGATGCGCTAGGGTGGGTAAGGTCTGCGTCTGCTGACTTTGCAAGGTTGTTTCTACGACAACTATCCAAAGTATAACTGCATTTAATTCTATTATTGATATTGTTATCATACATAGTATACAATTCTACCTTGTCATTCTACGCTGTGAATTGAAGTTGACTTCACCGCAACAACGGAAACCAAACAGCCGCTCGTGCAAACGCTGCTCAGTCGATTTGTCGGCCGATTGTGTTCATCTTAACTTCGGGGCCCGCGGCTTCAGTCTGGCAACTTATCCAGCCGGCAGGGTTTGTGGCTCGATCGACAAGACGCCGCAGATTTCCCCTCGCTGCCCACTCCACGACGATAACGGTACACCTTAGGCCGTATATATATATATACTGCACGGTTGCTATTCCAGCTGATACTGTAACTATTGACGGCCCCATACATCCCCTCCTCCAAGCCCTCCGACCCCCGTGCCAAAAATCTACAACTGTGCAACGTGTGCAGTTTTTTTTTCTTACCTGCGTTAACTGGTGTGGCCCGATCACGACCGTGTTCTGCTTTTGATGTGAACAACACATTCGCTGGCTAACGTAGTCAAGGTGCCAAGTTAGCGGATGTTAACTTGCGGCAGAAGTTAATTATAATAACAACAACAACACTGATACTGTCAATGGCGGCACCGGTAGTAAGAGGGAATTACTGAACGGCGAGAAATGTATATATCGAATTTAGCCATTATTCATAGACGCACACACGCAGTCAGCTTCGCAAATCACCCCAATGGATACAACATGACACAGCGGATTTGTTTTCTTCCATATTGCCTTCACATTTTGTAACCATCGAATTTTCTTGCATTATAGATATATCCGAGAGAAAAGAGGCGTTATCAACGTACTGAATGCACGATCACAGCGCTCGTAGTATTTCGCCACCGTACAACTTTCCCTTCACATGGTCAGCAATGCGACAATTGCTTGTTATCAACGTTCTCAGTTACGGAACGTTGATGTATCATTCTTAGTAGTTATGCTTCTGTTTCCTGCTGATGCTCTATCGATCTTCAAGTTTGCGTTTACCGTCCCCCTGCCATTCCAGGCGTCAGCGGCGGACACACACTTCAGCGTCGTTGAGAAACACAATGCAGCTGCTTTATATTCATATTGCGATCAAGCTCATGCTATCTGGCTAAACGGCATAATTCTGAGCCAGCAAAAAGTGCTTTCCCGTCTGATTTTTTCCGCACTACGATTATATCCTTGAGCATAGATGAAAAGCGCGAAACTGGAAAAGGGGGCGCCACCACAAGATCGTCATCTTAAACAAACTAGTTTTTAAGATAGTTCCTTCCTGCTTCCGGGGAATACGTCAACACACAATTCACGTCGACAAAATCCTATATCTACCATATCCTCGTCAATAGGGGTTCAGAAGCAAGTATTAGCAACCCTATTATTATCGCAGAGCTACTATAAATTGACATTCGGCATTCCTGTATCTTGGACCCGTTCAAAATGTCCGCATGAACAGGCGTCGCTCGACAGGTAGTGGATCTCTTGTGGCAGACCGACGGCAACGTTAGTTGAAAAATGCCTTTTCAGGATTACGAAACAAGTGAAACTGGTTCCACTAATGGATTACTGAACGATCCTTATCGTGTTAATAAGCCGTTATTGTATTCGTACTAGCGGTATCTGAGAAGCAGAGGTGAGTCAGGAGCAGCGGAATCTTTATGCTGAAGACGTGGCCACTCAGTGCAACTGGGCCCACGAGCAAACAGTCTCCCAGCGTCACGATCGGTTCGTGCTGCGGCAGAAACAAGTTTCCGTAGTATAGTGGCGTTAGCTATCGCATCATAAAAACGCCGCGCAAGCCACCACATCCAACATTCAGTGTCCGATTAGGCGTTCACCACAGTGTACATACGGTGCCTTCGATACAATGGTAAGCGCTTCGCTGTACTGAAAGGTTACTGTTAACAAGAGGACTCGTTCGAGATCAGACAACGGGCCAGTTGAGGCGTGCCATCCTCATAAGACCCCAATAGACCTAGCCCCGCCAACACATAACTCGGGCAACTCTTGAGCGAACGTTGTTGGTTGCACGATGCAGGCATACATACACACACGGCATTGACCTGGGTTTAGAGTGAAACCTATTGCGAGGGCAAAATAAAGAGGAGACTGAACATTAGACCGCCAGCACGAGAAGAACTAGAAGAAGAATCTTTAGAAGTTGTGCGCCTAAGCGACACGGTTCGTTCCAAGATGGCATAGTACGGACGCTCTGTGGTGATGACGAGGGTTAGTGGCCTTTCAAGTGCCCGGTTGCTCGCCGGTGTTTCGACCTGCGGCTACCTGGGCGTGAAAGATCGCAAAGCGAAGCCAGCTCTATTGGTTGCGTGCGCTACGTATAGACAAGCTCTTAGGCGGGCAACAGTAGCAGCAGCAGCGCCAATGTCAGCAGTACTAGCAATTTTAGCAGAAGACAACATTCACAGTGCTACATAATAGTACACAAAGGAGGTTAGGCGGCACTGAGAGAGCCAGCCGCGGCCCCGTAGGCACTGCGAGAGTAAAATTAGTTGTAATTCGACTGGTTCTTTGCTACTACCGATGACGTCGGTCCCGTTACGACAGCCGCTGCTGGACGATCTAGCTCGTCATGTTCGCTACACACAATTCGTGCGCGCAGGCCTCTCCCAGTCGTCGTCGTCGTATCTTTTTCGATCAACGGAGAATCACACAGAAGCAGAGGCAGGAACCCGTGCAGAGCCGCGACACGCACGGACGCAGGAATTGACTCATACAGGGCTGTTCATGCTGCCTACAATGACCCGGCCGTCTAGCCTTAATTGCCGGCGTCTATGTATTACGCCAAGCCTGGCCGTCCGACACAGTCTGGATTATACTAGCTGATGGGTACTTGGTAATTTACCTAAACAAGTGTCGATCAGGGCCCATAGGGCATATTTTTTCGATGCATGGAAGTTCGTTTTGTCAGTCAGACGACACTGTTTGCGATAAGGCAATAGCAATAACAACGGCAGAACTTTAAAACATAAAAAGGAATTCCACAGAAAAATGATAGGCAATTGGATTTCTAGACCCAGACTATACAGTTTTGCTCATCTTTAATCGGACGATGTTGTATGCCTCTTCAGAGATGCATGGTCCCGTCGAACACAGGAGCAGGATGAAACTGTATAGAAATTAGAACGAGGTCATAATGAAAAAGCAAACGAAGGCAAGGTTCACAAGATTATTACATTCTGCTCTCGTGAACGATGGGCATTCTCTCTGTGAGTGCGGCCCCGAAGAGCAGACAAAGCGGCGGCAGAAACATAGCGGATCGGCTGTAGGGCCGAGGTAAACTGTCAACAGTGAGAGGGGATTGCCCCTTGCTATTATTGTCTAACGCTGCTGTGGATCATGACAATTCACGAAAGAAACCAAGGCGATTTGCTAGATATCGAGTGACGAACGGCTGCGGAAGATGTTGCAATGGCTAATGCTAAAAAGTCCTGTTAAACTATCGATAATAGTGTATATATGTTGAGGATAGCATAGAAGCAATGCCACTTAGGCAGATTATATTAGGCAGCTGCTGCTAAAATTTAGATGAAACTTTTATTTTGTTAGAACTTGTTTACATTCATTCTAATAATATATAGGTATACTATATATCTGCAATGAATCTTTAAGACTTTCTCATTCATTTTACTCATTCCGTTCCGCCGCAAATGATTTAGGTCCGATATTGAAAGACTCATACAATCATATCCTGCAGACTCCTTTTATCGTCAGCTCTGCTGTTACGAATTTCATTCCCCACTGATTAAAAAACGACTATAATCCGTCAATGCGGGAACGGGGGCATTCGGCCTGTAGGTTAACCTAAACGATCCTTGCCATTGATGGTCTGGCATGGTTTAACGGAACAATAACTTTCGATTATCGGTTAGGCCTTTTTTGTTGAATAGCCTCAATCACTCGATGCAGATGGGCCTTATATAGATCCTTGTAGGTAAACTTGTTTTTCCTCAAAATCTTCAGTGTATAAACCTCTCCCTTTTACCTAACGTAAATCATTGACTTCCTGAAATGGAGAATGAGCTTGACTACAATTCTAGACGTTCTCGCTCTCGAAATTATCCAGTTTATTCTTTGCTTCACATCAACATGAAGACACTACAATTCTCGTCGCCTGTAATAATTCTACGTAGAGACCTGTCATTGTCGTTAAGTTCTACTTCTTGTTAAATCAGATTTGTAATTTTTTTTTTTTTTAGTAAATCATCTAAATTTAAAATCCTCTCGTTTCCTCGGCCGATGCACAAGTTTTTTTGTCGGTCATCTATCTTTGGGATGCTCTCACCAACGTCGAATTGCCGACTGGAGGAGGCATGCATACTCCAGGCCCAAAACACCATTATCAAATTTTCCAAGGAATTTTTCAGCAGTCCTCAGACCTCCATCGCGGAAAGACGATTATTTGTGTCTGGTGGAATTGACAGTGTCTTATGCGCTGGAACATGTTTAACAAGAATAGAACACACATTTAATTAATGGTCCAGTTACAGCCTACCCGACAGACGAGTCCCAATAGACGAATTGACGTAAGCATTCTTCTTTGGAAAAATGCAGGGCCGCACATGGCAAAAACTGCGAAAGCAGTGCTACAAGAGCTTCACTGAGGTTTTGTTTGCGACCATCATATTCCTCAGATCTCACTCCAAAAAATGATCGCCTCTTCCGATCATTGAAAAAATTAGATTTATAGCGGTATATATGATTCTAGAGAAGGTCTCTCGAAGAGCTCTCTGATACTACACAGGAAAATTCGTTGTGGGAATAACTAAATACTTTAGCTCCTGGAGGTTTTGAGCACAGACGGCGAGTAGATAATAAATCAATTTGTTGCTCGAATCGGCGTGAAAGGCTGCATTCTTCGTTCGGTTGATGTAACAAAAATTACCTGAGAAGCTCTAGAACAATAAACTAATAATGGATTTCCGGATGTGTCAGAGATGCGGAAAACGAATTGCCATTTTATCTTTATCGAACAGATTTGGCGTTGAAGCGTTAGGGACACAACTGGGTATAGGGGCAGACTCGTCGTTTCGCCTTCTCACGGTTGAAGCGACACTCGATGCAGTGGTGGTGCAATCGTTAATATTCAATCCGTAAACAATTTGCGCAGCCCGGACCAGATTAAGAGAGTCTAACGTTCGACTCTATTGATTTCATGCATGACCAACAATCTGCGGGTAAAAAAACAGTGTCTCCTACGTGCATAATCCCTATTCAGTTTAATTTCCCCTATTGTTAGCAGGTAGAAGAACATCACATCGAAGCAAATATCCGTTATTTTCAGCAGAGATTTGTGTCAGTGAAATAAATCTCACAGATAAGGAACAAATTCTGCTCGTCACTCAATTTTCCGCCGTGCATCCTGTCACAGTTCAGACTCTATGTCAAATCTATCTTCACATCTTCCACCTATGGATCGTAGTGGTCAGCCAAATCGACTCATAACAAAGTGTGATGCCGTGGAGCAGCGACCTCAGACAACGATCTCTGTCGGATTTACTGAGACAACCGAGCTGGTACATCGAAGTCCACACTGATGAACAGCTTCCCTGTTGCTGCCCGTCATGTAGTGGCTATAGCTGGCATGCTTGATGAGGTCCCGTTCAGATGTATCTGTTGCACCGTTCACATGTAGTTTTGGGGTAGAAAATGGGCTGTATATAGCTTCTATTGGCCTGGCTTTCTTTCGAGCTGTGGCCTTGCACGCAACAACAAGCAACGAACGACCGTTTCGTTCAGTCGTTGTCTCTATAGTAGTTAGCGACTTTGGAGTTAGACGATTTCGAATCGTACCGATTTCTTTTCTATGCTTTCTTTATGCCTGTGAACTAACAATGGAAGCTGTCGCCTAGCATTATTAAGATCGACGAGTTCATAATCCGTTCGTCCTCCAATGAGAATTAGGTACTTGATGGTGAAAGTGGCACCGGGCGAACTTTTCGTATAGTTAGCCGTTTGCATAGAGTAGATATCGGAGAGTATGGAAAAGGAAAGGGTTGGGAGTAGATTATACGTTTAAATTAACATGCTCGTGAAGATTGTAGATAGTAAACTAGTTTTCGATTTTTATTAAAGATATTGATAATAACGATAGTAACAAAAGGGCAATAACAAAAATAGAATGAGATAAAAAGAAATCGCTTTATATATGGATATTGGTATGCCGCTGTCTATGGATTGCTACTGTTAATACTTCCATTGATACGGGTAACTGGGGTTGTTCTGTCCTTCGCTGTTGTTTGGGGTGGTGTAAAAGTCAGAAGTCCTGTATAGATCGACAGGTGATACCGTACAAAATGGATGCGAGCTGTCCCTGTGGTCTCGTTGGACACAGCGGAAAGACGGATCAGGTTAGGTGCGTATGAAAAAGGAACTAACTTAACCTTTTTGTTTTACTGGCCTTATGTCCTACTTCTCTGGTTCTAGACGTTTCGGTGACGACATTTGACCGCGCCTATAATGACATCGTGTATACATGTATGAGTTTGCACTATATACATAAATGGTTATTAATGGAGTTGATACCAGGACGTGCACAATTCACGCGTGAACCTGATCGTGACTTCTGGGTGTAGGTCATCTAAGAGTAACGCGAAAAAAGACAAACAGACACAGAGGAAACGAGACCTGTATCAAAAAGGGAATTACGAAATAGGAAATTACGAAGGACAAGATAAAGCAATTTATGTCCCTAAACATCGCCATGCTACTTCCATGTAAAGAAGGGGCTGTGAGTACAGGTTCTCAAAGCGGTGTGACCCGACAATGACTGAGGTATGGCGTTTCGTTCAGACTAAAAGCTAAATAGGTGTAGTTTTGCCCAGGCTTACCGATGAAGCTGAGGTCTGATCTGTGTGAGCTTTTCTTGTAACATTGTTAGCGGCGCAACGTCTTTTCCTTGCAGCAGGGGGCAGATTCTCACATCTTTTTGTTCGTCGGGTTATGGGAACGA